TCTTTGGGAGCTGGCCCCACTCCTGTTTTCCTGAAGACCAGAGATGAAGGGAAGCATTGGTTTAGAGGGAGTGAATGATTTTGAGCTCAGGAATGGTCTGTTCTAGTCATTGGTGTAACCAGTAGCCTGCTACAATTAGCATGTCTTTCTCCGAGCCATGCAACAGCTAGCGTCTTAAATCTGTATAAGCATTCTTTTTATTGTCCTTTTTTGTATTTTGTTCTTTCCAGACAAGGTTGTGTGGTTGCAGTGCCCCGATCTCCTGTAGTCCTTGTGTGGGGGAGACTTCCTAGAGACTTCCAAAGGATGTTTTCTCCAAGTAAGGACTAGAGGATTTGACTGGCGGAGCAGTATTTCCAGCCTGGGATGCCCACCTGTACTTACACATGCCATCTCCCTTAGGCAGGGACTCCAGCAGTCAGCTGGTTTTGGATAGAGCAGCCTGGCTGCCGCTCTGTCACGCTTTCCTGGGTAGAGCTGGTGACAATAAGAGGGATTGCAACGGACGCTCCTTTGAATCGAACAATTTCCAAATAAGTCTTCAATGGGGGTTACCTCTAGGAACAATGTAATGGATTTATCCAGCACACGGACGTTAGATTATGTGTAGAAATGACAGCTGAACACACGGTGCTTTCAACAGCAATCCAAAGTGCATTCTGAGGAAGAAGGGCACCTTGCTAACATCAGGATAGAGGAAGACGCCCAGGGTTGTCTGTCACTTCACAAAAACATGTGCCTTTGCCAAAAAGATCTTGTTTTCTTTCATCTGCAATAATAAGTGGGAGAAGGGGTCAAGTAGTTCTGCGATTGGCTGAAAATGTACAGTCCCTTTTTGCATGTAATGGTGCAGTCTCCATGTTGCCACAGTAACAAAGGGGTCATTTTCAACTGTATTAAGTGCCTAATCCTCAGCTCAAGGTTGATTTGATACCTATGTCTCTTGGAAAGTTTTTTTTTTGTATAAAACAAAGTACTAGCAGGAAAATAAAACTGAATTAATACAACAATCTTGCTTTCTTTGTGGATGTTAATGCTCTGGTTACAGTGAGATGCCTAACCAGCTCTCAGTTCCCTCGCATGGGAGTCAGGATAGTCTCTTCTGTGGTCAGTACAATGGGCCCCAAATCCCAAAAGAGGCATTTCAGTTTGGCCTTTTTTCTGTGGTACTTTTCTTTCTCCTCTCAGCATAGTATCTGGATACTTCACAGTCTACAATGCAAGTATGCTCCCAATGTCTCTGTGAGGCAAGGACGTCTGTACAACCGGGGACCTGAGAGGAGTTGCTCGTTTGGGGTCCACTCGACCACCTTTAATGATGAGCTTGATTTTCACTGGCCCAGGCTTTGCTAGCTCTTTCATTTAATTGTTTACAGCATTCTTTTGAACCAAAAAATTTGTTAGGGGACAACCCAGGCTTTGTTGCTGCTGTTCTGTAATTTAACTGAGCTTGGTAGGGCTTGTTCTGACAGCCTTTCTCAGGAGGTGCTGACTTTTTATTCTGTTTTCTACCAAACAATTGGCTTGAAGAGCAAAGGGAATTTGAAATACTAATCCACACCTTGTTGCAAAGTGCTTAAGCTCGTACCTACTTAACTCTTGTCCCATGTCTGATGTATCTCTATCTGGAATGGGTTTCCCTCACTTTAAGGGGGTTTTGTATATGCAAATTCACTCATGCAATGACCATTTTTACACCCAAAATTTGTTATATGCGAGGTAAGTCTGTAGTGGGAGGGGTGCGGCACAGCCCAGTAGGCAGGGAGCAAAGTGGAGGGAGCCGTAAGTGGGGGGGCTGTGCACTGGGGGGCTGCGCCAGGCTCTTCCCAAGATTGTTGGGGGGCATGACCCCGGATCTGCGCGTGGGATGTGAGCAGATTGCTGCTGTGAGCTGGGCCTAGTGGCATCAACATCTCTTCCCAGTGCTCAGGGCGGGTGGTAGCAGTGCTGGGAAGGCAGGTTAGGGGGGCTATGGTGAATTTTGGGGTGGCTGCAGCCCCCTTCCCAGCACTGCCATCACCTGCCCTGAGTGCTAGGAAGAACCTGGTGCTGCCACTGGCTCCAGCCTGCAGCAGCAGCCTTCTTTGCCCCCCTGCACATCTGGGGGTGCATGTAGCTGCAAGAGCCGTACTCCCACACCCTCTGGCCTGCACCCACTGTCAGGCTGACGAAAGGTGTTTGTACCCGAAGGCTTATAATTTCCAACTATTTCAGTTGATCTAATAAAAGAGATCAGATTTATCCAAAGAACATTGTCTGCCTATATCCTTAGATCAACATGACTACAACCTATACCTTCGAATCAGCTATTAACATATGGTCAGGAGGCAGCCTTGTTGCGTCTTTGCTGGTATGCATTGTTTGCAAGTGCAGAAAGGAGCACCATTTAAACCATTAGAGGCCAACCTTATAGGTAGGAGTGCCACAAATTAAGCTCTGGGCCCTCCCTATGTGTCACTCCAGTCCTCTGCCCAATCTGCTGCTCTGCCCTGTGCTCCCTTCCTGTTCTGCTTTTCTTTCTTCTTTCTGCTTCCTGCCCTATCTGCCACTGTGTTCCCTGCTCCACCTCCGATCTGCCTGGTGTCACATGCAGAGGTTGCCCATGGCACTTGTGGCATGTGCTGCAGGTTGGTCATTTCTGGTTTAAGCCTTCTCCAATTGATCAGTGTTTCTGCGGTCTCAAGAGGCACATAACTGCTCCATGCTTCTTACTTGGTGTACATTCTGTTTTATCCAGTATGGGCACATCCAGACGAGTGCGCACGTGCCTCTTGCCCCAGCTCAAACCCCTTTGAGGTGGGGCAAGAGGCATGTGTGGGAACAAAAAAAATGTTCCCTGCAGGGAGAAAATTAGACCCCTGGATATCCAGGCACAGCAGGGCAGAGGCAGGACACGGTGTGGCATGTGGGGACTCTGCACCACACCTAGCTGGGTCCTGCTGGCCCTGGGGCCCCTCTGTTGCCTGGCCATGCCAGGCTCTTGGTGGCAGGACCTGGTGCGGCATGACCCATCTGGGCGTGGTGTGCGCACCGGGTCCTGCTGCCATGGGAACGGTCCAGCCAGGTGGCAGAGGGGCCCCAAGGGTGGCAAGACCTGACTGGGCCTGGTGTGCAGTCCCTGCATGCTGCACTGAGTCCTGCCACCATGGCCCAGCCCAGCTGGGTGGCAGAGGTGCCCCAGGACCCAGTCGGGCCTGGCATGCAGTCCCCGTGTCCTGCTCTGGGTCCTGTCACTGTGGCCCGGCGCTGCCGGGTGGTAGAGAGGTCCCAGGTCCCGGCGTGCGGTCCCTATGTGTCATGCTGGGTCCTGTTGCCATGGCTCAGAGCGCCCCACTCACTGCTGCTGCTAAAGGTAAGTTATGAGCCCTGGACAGAGGGCTGTGGCCCTCCAGGGGGAGCTGGGACCCTGGGGTGGGGGGCGGCTGTGGCCACATCCCCCCCATCATACACCCATCATGCGTATATGAAAAGCAAAAGTACACATCAACACATATAGGTATTTAGAAGTTATTTTATCATGATGATAGAGACACTGGTAGGCTTCCGCATTGCGTTAACGTAAATATACCAATAAAGCATTGCCCAACTGCTCACTCGCACTCTCTCTCTAGATATGTGTGTGTGTGTGTGTGTATAGAGTAGTCTTTTGTTTTAATTATGGAAAAACATGGATTTTGGGGTATTTTTAAAAATGGATTTGGGATGCTGCTGCAGTAGTTTGGCTGGCACAAAGGGGAGGGTCCCCAGGTACCAAGTGGCCGGGCCCCAGAAGCTCCTGAGAGCAAGTAGCCCTGAGCTGCTTGCCAGGGCAGCTTTTGTACAGAGGGTCCAGGGCAGGGCAGCTTTTTATACTGCTGGGGACAGCACAGGTGCTGGCCCTGGGCTCTAGCTCCCCCTGGCTGCAGATCTGGGAAGAGCCAAGCAGGGTTATTTTGCCCGAAGTGGCACAATTTGCTCCACAGCAAAGTGCATGTCCTAGCACGTGTGCCGAAGCAAAAAGCCCCGGCTCAAATTTGCACCGCTTCTATTTGAGCTACTGCAAATGCATGTGCTTCCATGTGTGGATGCACCCTATGATTTCAGTAATCACTTAGAACTGGGGAAGCTTGCTTTATTCAGTGCATGAATTTGAAGTAGTTGGCATGGTGCAACATGTGTCTCTGTATAATATATAACCAGTTCCTATGGCTTATGCCAGAGTTTCTTAAAGTTACAGGTCCCTGCCTTCCCATCATAACTAAGTTCAGCCTTGTGTGTCTAGTCATGTAAGCACCTTTTCTTCCTTTTCTATAAAGCAGTTTTTACAGGGAGCTCCCTGCTGATTAACAGTCTAGAAAAGATAGTGTACAATAACCAATACTTAGCACTGGTCTAAAGAGAGATGTCCAGGTTCAGCCCTTCATCATGCCTAGTATCTTGCTATTGAACTACCCCAGTAAGCAGATCTATGCACTGCTGGTAGGGGCCCAGTGCACATGAAAGCAAACCAGTTGAAGGATATCCCCACACATGCGCAGATATGAACCTTGGCATCAGGAGCGGGGATTCCCCAAGACTGCTGCTTTTAGCTTCTGAGCCTACTTGCTGGAATTGAAGTTGTCAGCTGGTTAAGCAAAAGTGTAGGTAGAGTCCAGGCAGTATGTGCTGGTGCTTTCCACAGGAGAAGGGGAGAGGTTGCTGTGTTTCACCTGAGGCTCTGGTGTCTTGCATCTTCTGATCAAGTGGGAAGGCCCTTGGGCAAGTAGGCTGCTGGTGTGAGGAAGGAGGAACAGACTAACATTCCCTGCAGCTGATGCTGTAGAGGCTCTTGCTATCAGCAATCTTGGCTTTGCACAGCTGCATTTTCCCACTCCCTTCCTCCCACCTTAGCCTTTCGGACTCCATGCCTATTGGGTTGTGCCACGTTCACTTTTGAGTGTGTTTATAAAGAAGAGTCATTAAAGGTTAACCTGCTCTTCTCAGTCAAGGCAGCTCCTTCTGCTAAATCCATCTCTCTTGCTATGGCTGGCCTGAATGTTTCCTTTGCCTTCTTTGTCTCAATAGTGGCCATTTGCGAGGTGGTCAGACAGATTTCCAAGAGATTTATACCTCTTGGAGTGTATCGCTGTCTTGCTGAAGAACTGGCCAGCTCATTACAGTTGTGCACTTGCTGCCTTGAACTGAGGATGCTGGTGGAGCTTGGTCCATGGGGTGGTGGATTTGGCCCTGATGTGACACTAACCCTCCTCTTCCTTCTCTTTTTGGTTCATGGTTTCTCTTTTGGTGGGGCTTCTGGAAATCCCATGGTCTCTCTCCAAGAATTCCTGATCATGGAGTCTTCCTTCATGGCTACCACTGTGAAAATTTTGGCTCAGTTTGCAGGCATGGAGGCAGGTAGGATTTTCACCAAGCTTCTCTGGTCCTGGGAGCTGACAGATTTGCACCTCATTCAGAATCTGATGGCTTTTGACTGCAGTTCCTCCATCCAGACCTCTTTGTCCCAAGGCATCTATGTGGAAGGCGGGTGCTCTTTCTTTTTCCACCTTGTGGCACTCAAGTTCCAGCACAACCATGTGCTGTACAGAGTCCCCGTTGTGGCCCTGCTGGTGACTGTTCTGGCTTACACAGGTGAGTGTCTTCCTAGATTATTCCATAACACTTATGTATAGACTAGACTGGAAACAGCCTCATTCAGCTGCAGTGATGAGTCACCTGGTCATCTCGAGAGCCTTGAGTTTAACTATGTTTAGCTGAACAGCTAAGTTTGCTTCATCATTGGTCTTTTCAGCTAGTTTGCTCACATGGCAACATTACCACCCAATTAGCCACAATTAAATGTTTTTATTCAAGAGTGTCTTAGGTGGGCTGTTCTATGTGAAAACTGGCATTGCTGGAACACCAGAAATCTCTGTGGAAGGCACTGTCCAGTATGCATATGAGAAGCTCCCTGCAGTCTAGAAGAACAGAGTGCAACACTTAATAAAATGTGTATTCATCTATCATATTCTTCTATAACACCTAACTCCTGTAGTCTCTGAGCATCCTATTGGCACTGCCACTTTGAGGTGGGTCAGTACTAATTATGTCCATTTTAGAGAGAGAGAACTGAGGCACAAAACTTAAGTGACTTGTCCCAGAATGTCAAAGGAGGATACAATTTGGTGATCAATCCCACAGGAAATCTGGGCTGGAGCAGAGAATTGAATCTGGGGCCTTCTGTCTTAACACGGGATGCTCCATTCCCTCTGAGCTTCGCAGCTTTTCACAAAGAACCCCAGCCCACAGCAAGAAGGGTTTGATTAGTGAAAGGTGGGAGCTGTTGGAGGAAGCCAAGCTAAGGTGAAGTTCACTTCAGTTTTTGCCTACTCAAAAAATGAGAGCTACTAGGAACGACCAGCTAAGCTTTTAAAGAAGACCCCAGCCACTATAGGACTTGCAAGTCAGGGTTTCACTGACCATCAGTTGTGGTATGGACAAGCAGCTGGAAAGCTAAAACAAATTTTAAGGTGCTACCAAACTTTAAGGTGGACTTGAGGTTATAATGATGATTTCTCCCCTATAATTTATTCATTTGCATATTCATTCAAATAGGAATGTTTTGAAAGCCAGGAAATTCAAATTTAAGCTTGCACTCAAAACAACAAGCCCTGGAAAGCACAACCACACTCAGTTAGGACCTCTCCCTTTTCCTTCCTCCTCTCCCTCCAGACGAGCTAACATTGTTCTTGCATTGCCATCACCTTGCATCCAAGACTGTCGCAGTCAGTTTCCTGAATGCCGTATGTCTCCAGGAAATATGGCATCCAGGACTTTGGAGATGCATCCACTTTTAAAACCAGGAGGGACTGCTGCAGTCTGACCATCTGGCCTCTGCCAGACCTCTCATCTAACTCTCTCCTCCACTCCCTTGGTACAGGCTGGAGGATTCCAGCATAGCCCGCTCTTCTGTGGGGGAAGAGTGCACCTTGTTAGAGACAGCATATGAGGGGCATCTACTATGTCCCTAGGGAAAGCTGTTCCAGCTGCTTTGAAAAAAGACAGCTCCTTATTTCTAACCTGATTGATCTAAGTTCAGCTGCCCGGTGCTGGCATTTCTTCTGCCATTCCTTGCTTGGTTAGGAAGTGGTCTTCTGGCAGAACTCTCCTCTCCATGTACACACTTGTGTATCAAGTCGCCCGTTCACACTCTGACCTGTTTAGGCCAATTACATTGTATGTGCTCTGTATGGGAACAAATAAAACACGCCCCACTAATATGAACACATGGTGCGCCCTCACTTTCCATTGCAAATGGCTCATGTTCTGCACTTCATCCCACAGTAAAACACATGGTTGTGGTTTAAGGTGTCTGCTGCTGCTAGGGTTCTCGAGTGGCCTGCTTTGCTGGTGGTGTAGCCCCATCTACCTTTGAGGCTGGGAGGGAGCTTGCATTTACTTGACATGGAGGTTATGTGGGGAGGTAGGACTGTGGGGTGGAGTTAGGTTGACCTAATTCTACCTCTGCAGAATGCTTTCAGAAAGGTCATTGAATGGGAGGCAAGAAGAGGTGCTTCCTTTCCAGGCCTACATAGAAACAGAACTTTCCTGATCCTACCTGCTGCTGAATGTCTTCTATTGCATGTTTTTAATCAACCTGAATGCAACTCTTTGTACTGTTCTTCCACAGCTGGGCTTTCCACAGGAGCCTTTTACAACCCTGCCCTCGCCACAGCTGTTACCTTTCACTGCTCTGGGAACACCTTGCAAGAGTACATCCAGGTTTACTGGCTTGGGCCCCTCACAGGTGAGTGAAGATGCTGTATGGACAGGAGCTATGGCTGCCTGGCTCTACTGGGTCACAGACTAGAGAATGGGGCTGACTTGGGTGGGGGGGAGAGACTCTCAGCATATTAGCAATGTTAGTGAGCTTGCATGGAAGGCAATAAAAAAAGGTGAGCAGAGAAACTGCTGTCTCCTTGTGGTAAGAAGCAAATCTTTAAGTTTTTATTGATTGTAGAGCCTGGCTGTTCTTGTTATTGGCAAGCTCGAGGGCAGAAGCTCATTGTCTTTCCCAGCTCTTCTCCATATCAACTTGGCCATAACTTTGCCATATCCCCAGTAGTCTACAGAAGTGCTGCCTATCAGACCTCAGATGAGGGGAGACATTTTTTGCTGGGCAAGGAGCAAATAAGACTAAAATAGTCGGGAGAGGTGACAGGGTTAGAAATGAGGTAGTGATTACTCCTCTGCATTATCATCAGTGGACATTGCCTGTTGATTCAGGAAGGCCGCGCTGCATCTGTTGCTTTCTGTTTGCAGGCTGCAGGTTAAAGAACCAGGAAGGGCACCAAATAGCACTGTTAAAAGGAAATTGGTACTATTTGACCATTCACGTACAAGCTGCACTGATTCAATGTGCTGGGGTGCATCTCTGTTAAAGCCATATTCTAGCTCAACTACGCACTATTGGCTGGGGCTTCCGATAGTTTTGGCTACCTTTTATTTCCCTCATTTTGGCAGTGCTATGGCATTTGGATGCAGGGTGCCATCAGGCCCCAGAAGAAGTACTAAGTGGAGTATGTTAGATGCTGGGAGTGGGAAGAAGAAATGGTTGAAATAAAATAGCAGTTAAAAGTTAGCAGCTTAATCTCCCTATTGTTGTTTTCAGGGATGCTTATAGCCCTGCTCCTGTTCCAGGGGAACATCCCAAGGCTCTTCCAGAAAAATCTGCTTTACAACCAGAGAAGCAAATACAAGACCCCCAAGGTGAAGGCAGTATCTGTGCCTGCAGCTGTGGTCAAACAGATAGGAGAAAGCAGCCAAGAAGAGCAGCAGCGAGCACGCCCAAGAGCTGAGTGACTGAGGTTATTTTTGCTGCCCCTGCCCATCTCCTGCCCCACTCACAGGTTGGGGAGAGGGCACCCAGGCTTTTCCTCTCCACTGCCTCAAAATGCATAGCCCCACGTGGCCACATGCTAGTGATTTGCTAGAAGTGGTCCTTGGTGGCTTAGCTGTGCTAGCTGGGAGGGAATGGGCAGTAGGTCATGCTGCCATCAAGGACACAGGCCTAGGCCTCTTGGACGTGGACAGCAGCAGTGTCTTGGGCACAGGCCCAGAGTACCACGCTCCATGAACAGAGCATTTCTTCTCCTCCATGCAGGTTCTCAGCTGCCAAATGCCTTGTCCTTGCTCCAGCCTGTGTGGACCAGCCCGTCTCCCCCATGTGGGCTGGGAGCCGGTGCCAACCTGCTCTTCCCTCCACTCCCCTCAGTGCACGCAGGCCTTCCCGCTGCTTGCCCTGTTCCTTAAGAACTAGTCTTGGCTGCTGGTGCCAGTCATCTCAGCACTGTGCCCACATGTGATGGCTCAGCCTTTGTGCACTCACTGCTAGTACCAGAAGCTTTAATGTTGGACTGGAAAGAAGAAAAAAAAATGGAGGGGGAAACTATTCAGTGGTAGAGGCTGAAGGATCCCCTGGACCTCATTCACCTTAGTAGTGCCTCACAAAAAGATCCTTCCCTCTCAGCCCAAGTGACAGTTTGGGGGCTGTTTACTAACCCGACCACCTCTGCTTGACCTGATGGAGCTGAAAAATAATCAGGCAAGATGAAATGGAATTAAGAAAACTACCACAGTCTGTCTTCTCCAGCAAACAGGGAGGGAAAGACTGCAGAAAGACCTGGATAGGTTGCAAGGGTGGACTAACAAAAACAGGATGCGTTTCAATACGGACAAGTGCAGGGTGCTGCAGTTGGGCAGCAGTAACCAGCAGCACACTTATAAGATGGAGAAACTCCCTTCTTGAGAGCACGGAGGCAGAAAGGGATTTGGAGTCATTATTGACTCCAAGATGAACATGGGCCGACAATGCGAGGTCACGGTTGGCAGGGCTAACAGGACCCTATCGTGCATCCACAGGTGCATCTCAAGTAGGGCCAAGGAGGTGATCCTCCCCCTCTACGCGACTGGTCAGGCCACAGCTGGAGTACTGTGTCCAGTTCTGGGCGCCCCACTTCAAGAGGGATGTGGACAACATTGAGAGGGTCCAGAGGAGGGCCACCCGCATGATCCGGGGACAGCAGGGCAGATGCTATGAGGAGAGGCTAAGGGACCTGAACCTGTTCAGCCTTCACAAGAGAAGGCTGAGGGGGGACCTTGTGACCATCTATAAACTCACTAGGGGGGACCAGAAGGTTTTGGGGGAGACCTTGTTTCCCCTAGTGTCCCCTGGGATAACAAGGAATAACGGCCACAAGTTGTTGGAGAGTAGGTTTAGATTAGACATCTGTAGGAACTACTTCACAGTCAGGGCGGCTAGGATCTGGAACCAACTTCCAAGGGAAGTGGTGCTGGCTCCTACGCTGGGGGTCTTTAAGAAGTGGCTCGATGCCTACCTGGCTGGGATCATTTGAGCCCAGTTTTCTTCCTGCCGAGGCAGGGGGGCGGACTTGAAGATGTACAAGGTCCCTTCCGACCCTACTTCTATGATTCTATGAAACAGATATCTCAGTGGCTTCCAAAGGAGGGAACCCACCCTGATGTTTGAGGGGATGCTCGAAGCCCTCAGCACCACGAAACTCCCACATCAGTCTGTATTGCTGGGGGCTGAAAGATGGCACTGGGCACTGAATAATGATGTGGGACCTACTGTCTTGTGCCCATTGCTTTTCTGTTCCTTTCTCCTGTTGCCTTGGCAAGGACCCCTGCCCAGGTAATGGTTACTTGCAAGACACATTAAATCCCAAGATGATATTTTTCAGAGGACTGTAAGGTATACACCATTTTTAATCAAAGATGTGTCTAACTCCCCCAGGTTGCTTTAAACACCAACTCCCCAACTAGCTGGTAAGTACAGAATGTCTCAAGTGCCGTTGAGATGATCAAGAACATCAATAAATTAATTCACAATGTGAAATAATGGACAGTGAAATGATTACACTGATCAGGAACTAGTCAGGTAAGGATCAGATAACAATTTAAAATGACTTCACAGAAAATGAAATTCTTTGCTAACACAGGGCAAGAGAACTCCTCAAAGAAAGAATTCAAAGATTCATAGATTTCAAAAGTAGGAGGAGCAACTATGATACTCCGTGTGATGCAAGAGGTCACATTAGGCCATAGAATTTCACCCATGTTTTTTTATCAAGCTCAATAATTTGGTGTTGAACGAGAAGAGATGTCTTTCTAATAGACAGTCAAGCTTGATTAAAAGGTTCCACATATGGATGACTCTGCCATTTCCTTGGTAAGTGTTTCCAGTGGCTTGTTACTCCCTCTGGCAAAAATTGGCACAATGGAATGACCATCATGAACTATGTAATAGTTACGTATTTTTTCAAAGTGAAAATTCTGATTTTTATCAAAACTCTTGTTCTAAGTTGCTAATATCTATAGGAATTGAGTCCAAAACTGCCCTCTTGGAAGCAAACATTTCACATTGTATAGCTGCTCATAAGCTTGTATTTTTCTATAAATTAGGGATAAATTGGTTTACTCATTGGCCTGTGGTCATTCCTCCTTTGACATTGTGTCAAAGAAAAACAAAAATCCAATCTTTGCTTATGTAACTTGGTATGTATTGGCAGCAGTTGGTCACTTGAGAAGAGAGGATGATATTATAATTTCTTGTAACCAGATTGCCACATTCGATTTATTAATGAATCACAGTTTGCAGTAAAACAGACTGTACCAAAATATCCACGGCTCCTTTGTGTCTGAGGCACGCTGAATTTGACAAGTTGTAAGACTAGTTCTTCTGTGTTGATTTCCCTTCTGACAAGAGATACTGAAAAAAACACTTAGCTCAACTAAGCCTCAAATGTAGCTGGATGTTGAGGTACATATGAGGTATGTGACTCACAAAAGATGTCTGCAGCAGCCTCTGTGCTGTGCCCAGGAGCCCTGAGGCAAAGCTGCTCCTTGTAGGCTGTTGGCTTAAACGGTATTTAAAGGTTTGCTTTTATGCAAATTGGCTTATAGGTATTGATATGTGTATTTAGAATGATTCAAGATGGGCAGCAGGGGTTAATTGATTTCTAAAGAGCTTGGGTCTCACACGCAAAGCGTCTCGCAGCCCTGGAGACAGACAGGCTGTCTAACACAGAAAGGCCAATGGATGGACACATAGCCTGAGAATTAAGGGGGTATGCCATAATACGAGATCACAGCCTTCAAGGCAGACAGGTTATCTAACACAACAAGGACACGGAGTCCAGAAAACAGTCTGGGAACTGGAAGCATATACCATACTGTCCCATAACACAAGATAAAGTGACACTAGCAACAAGGCCCCAGAGCAGGGGGGCCTGAGTCCTGGTTTTGGGGGAATAGACCAAATTAGGAGAAGGCCTGGAAAGACCAAATTACTGTGTGCATGTGATAAGCTATGTGGATGTGTGACCACAGAGACAACCAACCAGCGATAGCCATGGATGGAGTCATCAGGAGGGAAGGAGAATACAAAAGCAGAGACAGGGAGCAACCCTTTGTTACTCTCATATCCCTCCTTTTCATCCTCCACCTGGGTCCCTCCCCATCCCGCAGGAAGTGTCCCTGAGGCCACCATGGACAGAGGGCATATCACTAGCCTGTCTCATCCATCCCCCTGGGGGTGGGGGCTGGGCCTCCGCATCTCACCTCCAGGCTCAGAGAAAGCCTCAGAGCGGAGCCTGTGTCCTGGCCAGATGCACTTTGACTCTGATGACAGCCCTAGGCTTTGGTACATATATAGAATTGCTTGATTGTTTGTATTGCTTCTTTTCTGTTATCACTGTGTATCAATACATTTGCCTATTGTCAAATGGAAAGGTCGTGCTCGGTCTGAGGATGGAATAAGCCTCTGGGTCCTAAATCCAGAGTCAACATAGGCCACATCTCAAAAAGGAAGCAATGCAGCTGCCTAAGAGGCACTCAAGTGCATGCTAATAAGATCATCCAGGATGGAGAGCCTAGGAGTGGCACTGGACATGTGCTTAGCATTGTGAAAATGCAACTGCCTGGCCTCATTTTGGGAGTTAGTGGTTGCGCAGTGGGAGTGGGTGGATGAGGTGGGGCATGGAAGTGGCATAGTCGCTGTGGGAAGGGGGTGTGTAGCAGACTGCCACATCGGACATCTTTGCAACACTGAGTTTGAGGTATGGGTGTTGATGTGATTAGGGCTAACATGGACAGTCTTGTGTGCATGTGACTGATGCTATCTGGCATATTTTAAAATCGGAGTTAAAAACAGGCCCTCTTCCCCTCCTACAGGTGAACAAGGGGTCTGTTGTGCCAACAAACAGCAAGTCACATTTAGAAATTAAGTAACTTGTATCCCTTTTAAAACATTCTAGTTCTTGGATTCTGCATATGTCAGTATTCAGGTGTCTTTCGCTGAATATAAATGTATTGCCATGGCTTTATTCTGAGATGCTTATTGTTCCAGACCCCACCTAGCTACACATGTTACTTCAGCAGAGCTGAGAGTGAACTGAAGTCAGAATTTCATGAGCACTTGTGATATTTTTATGAATTGTTTTTCTTCCCAAATTGGAGGAGTGAGAGAGGGAGGGGTTGAAACATCAGTTTCTCATTGAATGAAAATTCTATTTAGAAATGTTGAAATATTTCATTCATTGATTGAAGCAATATTTTTGGTTGTTCTGAATAAAACCATTTCAATCCCACGAGTTCAACGCTGACATAGATTTCCCAGTGGTGCTCTTCAAGGGTTTGCTGCCTTGTTCTCTACTTGTCTGCCAGACTCCCGTGCCAGAACATATCTCCATATTATACAGTTATTATGCGAGTCCCATTGTGTAGCACAGAACTCAGTCTGTGGGTAGATCACAGTGCTGTATGGGTGTTGTCAGCTAGCC